TCCATTTACATCCAACTGCTGTTTTCTGTGGAGGTAAATCTACAAGTTCCCATGTATCATTTTTTAATAAGGCTTCCATTTCTTCTTGAGCTGCTACAACCCATTGTTTTTTCTCAGGTTCAGACAATTTCTCCAATTGTTTCCAAGATTTTGGTTCAATCACATTTCCTTGAGCTATTAATGATAGTCTGTTAGGAGGAACACCTTTTGTTTTTCTTTCAGATTTTCTTACTTTCAAGTTAATATCATTGTTCTGATGATCATCTCCATTATTATCCCCATCAATCATATATGGCTCGTCATGTTCAATCTCTTCCATTTCATTTGACATATGTTCTTTAGTTTCATTTGTTGATGTTTGCCTATCATCAAGTACATTTTTCTCATCAGTACCTTTTGGTTGATCAACTTGAACACTTCTTTGATTTTCTTCGACCTTTTCATGTCTTTGGAGTAAACTGTCTACAGGCAATACCCTAAAGCTCGAATTAGTATGATTTGCATCGACATGTGGAAAGGAAGATGTGTCAAAAACTACATCTCGAGTTGTAATGATTTTCCTATCTTCGGGTAACCACATCCTCCAGCCCTTTGATACATCTGAGTAACCAACAAATATCCCTTCTTTTGCTCTTGATTGAAACTTGTCATTTGTCTTGTCTAGGATAAAACCTTTACAACCAAACTTTTTTAGATATGAAACATTTGGAATTTTCCTATACCATCTATGATATGGTAATACACCATCAATTGCATCTGATGGGCATCTATTCCTAACATGAGCTGCTGTTGCAACTGCTTCTGCCCAAAACGTTTGAGGAAGATTTGCTTCAATGAGCAAACATCTTGCCATGTCGTTTAATGTACGATTCATCCGTTCAGCCACTCCGTTTTGTTGAGGCGTTCCGCTACATGTTAATCTCCTCTGAATACCATTACAATTTAAAAATCCATCGAACTCTCTGTTAACATACTCTCCTCCATTGTCTGTTTGAAGATATTTAATTTTTCTTCCAGTAAAATTCTCTACTTTGTTCTTGTACTTTTTGAAAGAATCTAATGCATCACTTTTCTTCTTCAAAAAGTAAACTTCAACCCATCTTGAGCTATCATCAATAAAAGTAATGAAATATTGAGATTTTCCATGTGACTCAGTTTTCATTGGTCCACAGATGTCAGAGTGAATAATGTCCAACACTTCAGATGTTCTTTCACTTTTAGGAAAGGGTCTTTTTGTAAATTTTCCTTGAATACACACCTCACATTGTGGAATAAGCTCTTTTGTGTTCACTTTAATACCTTTAACCATATTTAAATTGATTATTCTTTTCAAGTCTCCAAAGTTCAAGTGTCCAAAATGTTGGTGCCAAGACAATAGACTTGATTTTTCACAGCTTATATTCATTTCTTCACTACTCTCTTGTACGTAATAAAGTCCATTTAACCTATTTGCATGGATCTTTGTCTGTCCATTCTGATCTATTATCAAAGCAGCATCTTTTTTAAACAAAACTTGATACCCATGGTCAGTAATTTTAGCTACAGACATCAGGTTTGTTCGAAGTTCTGGTACATACAAAGTGTCATACAAATTAACGCTTAAATTTGTACTCCCATTTAAAATGTTCATATGAACTGTTCCAACCCCTCTTGAATCAGTTGATGAATTGTTGGCAAGAGATATACTTCTTCCATTTGCAGGCTTGTACTTGGTAAATTTACTGTTCACATGAGTCATATGTGAAGTGCATCCACTGTCCAAACACCACTGTATATCTTTCATTGACAAGTTTCCAAAATAACTGTCATCTTGTACAGAAGAATTAAGTCCTACTTCTTCTAGTTTAGCAATCGCTACGTTTTGTTGATCTTTATTTGCTTTGGGACAAAATTTTGCTTTATGCCCGATCGCTTTACAAATAAAGCATCGAAACGGAAAATCAACAGATTCCGTTCTATTTCTATAAGAGTCTTTTGAAAATCTTCCTGGTTGAAATCTAACTTTGTTCTGAAATTTTCCTAGCAGGGCTTCACTACTCTCTTTCTTACCATGTTCTTTTCTCGCTTCCCACTCTTCTACAATTTTTATTTTTAAAGTTTCAGGAGAAGGCAGTGCATCTCTAGTTTCAATAGCAATTCTAAAGTTTTCAAATTCATCTGACAGGGAATACAAAAGAATAATTGTCAAAAGATCCTCATTAATATCGATTTCCATTCCTTTTAATTTGTCCACTACATCAAAAAACATATTCATGTAATCTCTGACATCATAATCAGGTGTCAGTTTTGCCAAAATTAGCTTCTTCAACAAAAAGGCTTTCCTTGCTGGTCCACTGGAATCATAAATGCCTTTTAATTTTTCCCATATCTCTGCTGAAGTGTTACATCCTTTCACTTGCTTTAATTCGCTTGGGCTGATAGAGAGGATTATATCTGCCTTTGCCTTTGCATCAGTGATTAGCCAAGCAGTCATTCTTTCACCTTCTTCTAGAGGCCTTTTAATGGTTCCTAACACATACCCAAGTAAATCATTTTTAACTAAAATTGCTTCCATCTGCATTTTCCATGTGTCATAATTATTTCTGTTCAAAAGTTCAATGTGATTACTCATATTTCTTTCCATATTCCTCACTTAATTGAGTCTCATAATCTGTTAAAATTGAATCAACTATTCTTTAATAACACTCACACAGTTCATATGTATATCAACTGGCCAGTTTACAATTCAATGCAACAGGGAACATTACGTAGTCCTGTGATCTACATCACTCCATTGTTGATTAATGCAACGGGGCCAATCGACTACTGAGTCGATTAATTGACGACTTTTATTTAATATTTACACTTTATGAATTTAATGGGAGTCTATCCTCATGACCCTTTTCAACCCTAGCCTTCGACCGAGCACTTTGTTTCCCCCATTTACTTTACACAATCAAACTCTCACTAATAAAAAATGCGATACTCTGATCAAAAATATTAAAATACTGTACAAGAAAATACAAAATGTTAAGAATAGTAATACTGACGATAGAATTTGATCCTTTACATAAAACACAAAAATAATAAATATCACAGATAATCTTTGCTCTTAAAATTAATAGACCATTTCAATTTAATTTAATAAATAATTTTCATTTGACTATAATTTCCAATGTAACTAAAATTCTTTGCATGACATGATAAATTCAATTAAATACTTCTCATCCTGAATTGCGACCATATGCTCTAAGCAGACCAAGTGAAACATGATATTTTCAGACCAAATATGGCATGATTTCTGAATGGTAAAAATGACTTGTACATGTGGAAAAATGGCAGATTGGCAGGACTACGTTAATACTAAAACACAAATAACACAAAACATTTACTTACGTACACATGTCGACACATACACATACACTCTCACACGGACGGAACATATAAAAACTGACTCGTGGTGATCTGTGACTTTGTCTGACCGAGCGGAATATCACGACACGGTTTTTTCTGGTGTAGGACTTATTAATTCTTGTTTTTTCGAGCTGGCGTTTTGATGATTCAATTGAAAATACCGTCACGACGACCCGCGATTCGCTAGAAACTGACATTTGCTATCGATATGATGCATGTACGAATTTTCATCACGAACGCGAACAATCAATCCGGCATCTCAACTGTCTCGACTTAATACTAATAAAACACACCCCCAAATGCAATTCGGCGAAATTTTGACAATTGCGATCATTTGATGCACGTACAATTTTCGCCCGAACGCGAATTTCCGAGCTACGAATGAAGATATTAATAAATTCGTCCTACACCAGCGACTTCACATGTTGACTACGCGATTACTGAGCCACGAGTGACGAGGACGAGACGCTTTGCACACAGCCCGGTTCCCAACGGTCGTTGTATCCTTCCGCGTTACGTCATGGTTGGACTGACTTGTCCATTGCCTGGCACGGATTTTAAATCTTTTGATTTAAAAATCGGCACATTTCTCGGCACGTGATTTGTCCCGATCACCAGCGATTTCAGGGCATCGCAAGTGACGATGATGGCGTTTCCTTGATTGCTAAAATATCGTCGGTATTGCGGCTGACAATAATGTTATTTCCGTGATAAGCGGATCTTTACGCTTGCACCGTTAACACGAGACAAGTTGTGCGGTGTATTTATATTAGAGAGGAAAAAGTCGATAGGTTTGGTATAAAAGACATATAAAATTAATACAAAAAACAAAGGCAACTTGACTGAACACAAGTCAAAGATGGTGCCACTGACGCGGGATATATTGACGACGTTGCCGTGACCGCGGGACATGTTGACGTGCCCGTGGGACATGTTGACGATGTTGCCGTGCCTGTGGGACAGGTTGACGATAGTGTCTTGACTGCGGGGCATGTTGACGATGTTGCTATGACCACGGGACAAGGTGACGATGCTGCCATGACCTGCAAGATATTTTGACAATTTATTTATCAAACTATATGTCGGTACATAAAAATAACAGGATATATTTTCAATGTTTAAATAAAGACTTAAAACTAATACAACTGTATTTACACAAAAACAACAGAATATTCCTAAAATGTAACATTGTTACATGACAAAAATTGAGCTAGAAGGAGTGGAGTTATTTTTATACCTAATTCCAGCAGTCCTCTAAATAAACACGATGTTACCTTGACCGTATGTTGACGATTATGCCGTAACCATTACATATGCTGATGATGGTGCTGTGACCGCGACATATGTTTACAATGGTTCCGTAACCGCGACATATGTTGACAATAGTACTATGACCGCAAGACGGAAAAAGATGTACTTTGTTCAGTAATAACATAAAAGCCCAGAATCGACGTCCACCTCTTAGATGCCCATATGGCCACCTTTTGAGTAACTCCTGAAAATATAGATTTTTCTTCTAGGAATCCAGATTGGCAGTAGGCCTAACGATATCACATTTTTAGAGCACTGTATACTATTTCTTCATATGGTTATTTTCTTCTTCACAGGTTGGCCCAGTGCAGAAACTGTGTATGGGGATAGAACCAGCATTCTATGTTGATTCTGGTCCTCCAGACTTCTTTGCATTCAATCCATGTGGGCATATGGCTACTGAGAAAACTGTCAAGTAAGTAATATATTTGAAAACAGTAACACCCCTTTTAACCGCAACTCGGAAAACCAAAACCGGTTTGGTTAATGAAAAATAATGGATCAGAAGGCGACACGGATCTCATACTGTTCCGCGATAAAGATCAAGTTTAGAAAGAATCAAAAAGCATTTTAAAAAACATATCTTGTTTATACAGTTGTAGATTTGAAAATGAAAATAATTAAAGTAATTTAAAAATACTGTAATGGTATCAGCAGTCTGACACATAATTTCTCCCATCAGCTTATCTTCAACCATTATCATAGACAAGCATATTAGAAGTAACTATGATATTTTATGGGAAACGTCACAAAAGTTGCAATCACTTTTGAACCGTCATTTTTACAGCGTTGGGAGTTATACCATTTTGTTTATTGAATTAAAATGAACATATGCTCAATTGCTCATGTACGTAACATACTGAATTTCAATCAAAATCAATCGAGTGGTTTCTTTGTAAATCTGATTTTTCCATTATTGCTTTTACGGCTTCTATTTTTCTGGTGTTTGTCTAATTTAAAACTTCATACGTATAATAGAAGTGAGATTATATATTTTTTTAATTTAAAGATTTCCTTTAATTACTACGCCACAAACTGTGTCGATTTAGTGGTACTGCATTTTATGAGTTTCTAGAAGGAGAAGGCCAAAAAATGAGGCTGAGGCCTAGCTTTCTATACCTCGCTTTTATGATACTTTATTGCCTGAAGAAACAAGCCATTACAAGCCTACTTTTGAGTAAACCAAGATCCTTTCATAACTTATTTATTATTTTCACCATATGTAAATTTAACCTCAAATAATGTGTATTTGTTTTGCAGGTACTGGGCAAACGTTGCTATACCACATGGAACCAATGGCTTTTATGCTTTCTGTCCATTCTGTGCCACCCCTCTGGAAGGAAATCCAGGATATGTGCGTCTTATATTTAATTAGAGTGTTATGGAGATTGTGGTTGTTTTCATTGTTTTTAAGACTAAACTATCTTTAAGTACTTAAAATAATGAAGATGCCTTGTACTTTTGTGATTCAACATGAATTAGCCAATTCATATCATTTTTATAAGAATGAAACAGTTAGGGGTTTTTTTTTTATAAGAATGTAATATTGTAATTTTCCTGGGGGTTTAAATTGATATTTGTAAATGAATGAATGAGACTATATCACTATTGTTCAATGTAATTGAAAAAATATCAAACTCCATAGAAAATAGGTCACCAATATTAAGGTCTATGTTTAAATTCTAAGACGTTTCTTCCCAATGCGATAACAGATGGCATTTTTGATGAAGTTCTATGGAAGTAAACTTACATATTTGAACTATTTGTTTATTAATTTGTTAGTTTATTGCTCACTGTGTAAACCAATCTTTCTTTGATGTTGCCTTTTTATTGTGCTCAAGGAAAGTTCTGGCGTGCAGACACTTCATGGATATACTTCATGGTATAGCTTGTAACGTCTCGTAACTATAACGGAGACCAGAGTTAATCTTGACTAAGGGTTGAAATAACTTTATATATTTCTTATTTGTTTAAAATAGCTATGATCTGTGATTATTACCAAACCAATAAGTGAAAAGTAACAGTTGTTTGTATTTTTTTGACTGATGTTTTTTTTGAACAAATTTGTTTATGCTATTTAAAACCTTAGTTTAAACATTTACGTATTGAAACATTTCCATTGTAATAACCTTTTATGTTATATGTTATTTTATATTTATTCATGTATATGTATTTATGTGTAAAATGTATGTTGCTTGTGTACGTGATCTCTTTTATTAGTGTTTTGTTGTGGCACTTGTACGATTGTGTTATTTATTTTTACCAACATTGTTTAATCTTAACAGAAAGGTGCATGTGTTTGTCTATAATGCTACATTAATTAATTTTAAAGTGACATGTACCCCTCAGGATTTATCTTGTCATTGAAACAACCACAATCAGATTAAGACGAATGTTTGATTTGAAGGCAATCTGATCATTCATTATGTCTACAGCATGTTATAAAGTTAGTTTAAATCACTAACTTCTCCAAAACTTGAAAATATGTTTTTAAAATGATTTATCAAAAAAAAGTTAATTAATGTTTAACGTTTTTTCATATTTCACTAATGTCATTTAGGCAAATCTCAGCTTTTAGATCACCGTATATGCCTTAAGTTTCTAAATTAATACTCATACTTTTGTATTATGATTTTTAGTTTTTATTTACAAAGTCTGTCTATTTACTTTGATCAGATTACCTACAATGCCGTGTTGCAGCCTTAGCCCTGACCAGTCTAATGTTGGGCAACCAAAAGACTGTTACTGTACAGTTGTACATAAAAATACAGTATGATAGTGTCTGTCTGTGTGTGTGGGTGCGTGTGTCAGAGTGTGTAAATAAGTGTCCAGGTCTTAAGTTCCAAACTGTTTAAGCACTCTTCTGTCCTCTTCATGTATATAATCTGCAATTATTTATACTTAAAATATGAAAATGGTTAAATTTAGGAAATATAATTTAATAATTTTAATGTTGACAAATTTAGTCTGTATATTTATTACACTTGAAAAAAATTTATGTGCAAATTATTTTTGTATTTCATTTGTTCAATCCTATTGCTTATATTGTGACGTTCATGCAAGAAGGTCATGTCAAAATTTAATACTTCTTTTATTGTTAACTAAAGCTAATTTGGAATGATAAACTACTTGACGAAAATGGAATTTAAATTCTTCATTTTTACTCCCAGTGCAAAACCGCTGGATCGAAAAGTAGCATAAAGACACGAGGATAAGTTGTTGATTTACACCCTTCTAGAGCTCCAAACTGCCCCAAGCCTCTCGGTTGGCGTCATACATGTCACACAGAATGCTGACACCTAGTGTCAGCAGCAATCAGGCCACACTTTCCATGCAACAACCAAACTTTTGAATGTGATGTAGCAACGCATATTAGTCCAGGACCTGACTAGGGTTCTGTGTGCATGTCATGTATAGAGAATTTTGCTTTTGCATTTCAATATAGGTGTCTTAGGAAGTGTTTTCCACTTGGGTGTCAAGTTCGCACCTGGTACGTTTTCGAGTTATGATGTCATCAAGATGGTGGCTCGGCAATTTTTAAATGCGTATATTTCGCAAACCGTTTAACGGATCGGGATGATTCTTTTTTTGTTTGAAAGATATTTTTACAAACAATATTTTTTGTAAACTTAATATTCACCCCACAATATTTAAAAACGTTGTTTTTATTGTTATTATATTTATTGTTTTGCTTATAACTTCTTAACCGCTGATAAAATCAAATACCACCCGTTGCAAAAGTTGCAGATAATTCTATACCCTTTCCAATGATACCAAACAATATGTGATTAGACCTAAAAATAAAGCAAAGAGATTGAATAAACCGTAAAAAACACTGAAAGTGGTGTACGGACCGGGAAAGATTTAGTCCTGGACATGACTAGAGTTCTGTGTGCATGTCATGTATAGAGAATTTTGCTTTTGCATTTCAATATAGGTGTCTTAGAAAGTGTTTTCCACTCGGGTGTCAAGTCCGAACCTTTTACGTTTTCTAGCTATGACGTCATCAAAATGGCGGCTAGGGCAATTTTTAAATTTGTATATTTCGCATACCGTTTAACGGATTGGGGTGATTCTTTTTTTGTTTCAAAGATAATTTTACAGGGAATATTTTTTGTATTTACATTTTTGTTGTAAACTTAATGTTTATCTCACTATATTAAAAAACGTGGTTTTTAATATCAATGTTTTTGAATTTTTCCTCATAACTTGTTAAACGCTTATAGAATGAAATAACTACCCGTTACAAAAGTTGTAGATAATTTTATGCCCTTTCCAACGATACCAAACAATTATTGTTTGAAACTAAAATTAAAGCCAAGAGATTAAATATCTGTTAACTAACAGTTAACATGGTAGAAAGACTGGAAAATATTGCGGCTGGAACAATTCTTCAAATGCGTTTATTTCACATACCGTTTAACGAACCGGGATGATTCTTTTTTTGTTTGTAAGATATTTTTTAAGCCTATTTTTTTTTTGTATCAACACTTTTGTTGTTAACCTACTATTTGTCCCACAATATTAATAAATGTACATTTAATTGTTGTTTTTATTTTACTTTTGCTTATAACTTTTTGACAGCCTATAAATTAAAATCCAACTTCTTACTAAAGTTGTAGATAATGTTTATACCCTTTCCAATGACACCAAACAATATGGGTTTGTAAATAAATATAAAGCCAAAAATTTAATAAACAATACATAAACACTGAACAAGGCACAACGTCCAGGAATGATTTCGTCCGGTTTCATTATTATGATATTTCTCCCGTTTATTCTACTAGTGCAAAATCGATTATCTTTAATAATATACATTTAACCACCTTTTTATATGTTTGTAATAATCATCAAAGTATTGAGCTAACGTGCATCCACTTTCTTAAGTTGCAGCACGAATTATTAGTTACTCAAGTAACAAAAACTTAATACTAAATCCAAACACATATACATTGACAAATGTGTATATTATTTCAACTATAATTATTTGCAAATTCAATTATTAAAACACCAAGATGTAATCTAAAAACTCCAAGATGTAAACAATTTATTAAATTAAATCCATTACACTAAATTGATTTAAGCTGTACATGTATTACATTTAATGTTTTTCTCTTATTGAGTTAGTTTCTGCATAGGCCTACTGCATTCAAAATTGAACTGCATCTGCAAAAAGCACAGCATGGGACTTGTTGTCTTTTGCAAATACATGATAATTTAGCACATTTAAGGCAGTTGCAAGGTCCGATGAAAGTTGTTGGTTTTTAATTTATGGGCTGTCAAAAAGTTATAAGCAAAAGTAAAAAAAAAAACAACAATTAAATGCACATGTATTAATATTGTGGGATAAATAGTAGGTTATCAACAAAAGTGTAAATACAAAAAAGATAGGCTAAAAAAATATCTTACAAACAAAAAAAGAATCATCCCGGTTCGTTAAACGGTATGTGAAATATACGCATTTGAAGAATTGTTCCAGCCGCAATATTTTTCGGACTTTCTACCATGTTAAGTGTTAGTGTTGGGTATCTGCGTTGCATTGAATTAAAGGTTGAAAATAAACTTATGATAAAAAATGACTAAAGAGCTATGTGGACTGTAAAATTGTGTATGTATATTTTGGAGAAACAATGAATTGAATATAACAGATGTTAATTAAATCAGCATAAAACAAATGTTATAGAGGAAACAAGCAATATGATTATTTGACAAAGAGTATCAAACAGTTAGTTAACAGTTTATTTAATCTCTTGGCTTTAATTTTACTTAATCATTAATTGTTTGGTATCGTTGGAAAGGGCATAAGATTATCTACAACTTTTGTAATGGGTAGTTATTGTGGCATAATTATATGCACACTTTGGTGATCTGGTCATGTGATTTATGATTCCGACCAAATCGTTCATGTTGGAAACGATAACTAGGCACATTATTTTAATCAGAGGAGACAATTTACCGCAATTCACAGGCCCTAAGAGCCAGCTTTGATGACTGTTGATTGATTAAACCATTATAACATCGAAATACGTGGATTGTTCAACATATTGAATATTTAGTATATAGATCGATTGGACACAACAACAACTAACATTTGAATAAGTGATCAATTATAAATGACATAATAAATGATCTGCTAACTGCTAACTGCAAGGTCATGCCGATTCAGCACAATACATTAGACGGGTCTTAACAGACCTCGTTTTGACCGATAATCGGATTATCCGCCCTCGCTTGTAAAATATTACAGGTTGTTTCAACCAATCTTGTTTCGAGAGCAGTTGCATTTAACCGCCACTTTCTAAGTCTATAGGTATTTCCGCTCCCACGCTTGGCAATTGGATCAATATGCTGAACTCTACATGATGTTATTAACCCTTACCACGCTACAGATATGATTGATTTTGTAGGGGCGGACCTTGTCCTGTTGCACGTCAGCCACTGATGGGCTTTTTGCGCTCCCCACATGGTACTTCAGAGTCCGTCAAACCTGAGTTGTTTAATGAACTTCAGCATCCTATCTTTGAGCTCCTCCTGAGGAAGGTGTCTGCCCCTTGTCATTGCACCAAGACTACTGTCCCTTACCTCATTCAGAGCTGTGCAGTTGTAGAGTAGGTGATCAGCAGTCTCCTCTGATTGCCCACATTTCCTACACGCAGTGTCACCATTGTGGATCCTCAAGCGATGCAGGTGCAATTTCAGGAAGCCATGTCCAGTGACCATTCCTGTGATCTGTCTGAGTTGCCTCCTGTCTAAACGTAGAGCATTGGAGGCAACCGTCTGGGAAGGGGAGAAGAGGGTGAGCTTACTTACCCTATGGTGCTGAAGCCTAACCCGTCTTTTCCTGTGTTCCTCCTGAGCCCATGAAATGACTGAGTGACATGCATGCCCACGAGAGATTCCACAGAAAGGCTGTGGTCCCACGAAGTCTGAGGCTGACACGACATTTGCTAGCCTGTCAGCCACCTCATTCCCTTCTATCCCTGAGTGCCCAGGAACCCAACAGAGTGTTACCTTGTTGCGCCTGCCCAGGTCACATACCGCAGAAAGGCAGTCCCAGACCACCTTATAATTGAATTCATAGGAGTCAAGCGCTTTGAGCGCAGCCTGGCTGTCTGTAAAAATGGAAATGTTGATGTCCCTGAAGCCTAGCCTCAGGGTTTCCCTAGCACATACCATTTTCGCAGTCATTTCGGCCCGGAACACAGTTGGGTGAGTACCCATAGGAAGACAAATGTCCACCCCGTTCTGCACTCCATGAATTCCAGCCCCAGTCCCAATTTTTACCTTTGAACCATCAGTATACCATTCATGGTCGCCTTGTGGAAGAGGATTCTCACCGGACATCCACTCATCCCTGGATGGAAGAAGGACAGTGAATGGTCCGTCGAAGAAGAATCGAGTCGGCATGTGGTTCGAAGGCATGTCCATTACCTCCCCTCTTACCTGCTGAGTGATCCGAGAGTGACCTGACCTCGGGATCCTACAACATCCAACCAAAGGTTTTCACACTGGAGTCTGTAGGCAGTCCTCCTCGCAGTGACCTTGACATGCAGGTCAACTGGAGTGAGGTTGAGAAGGCAGTCTAGTGAGGCTCCCGGACAGCTGCTCATTGTGCCCGTGATGATGAGACAGGCGAGTCTTTGGACGGCAGCCAGATCTCTCACCGGCGACACCGAGTCCATCTTGGGCCACCACACGAGTGAGCCATATGTCATGGCGGGCCTTACCACAGAGACAAATAGCCAGTGCATGAGCACCGGCTTGAGCCCCCAGGTTCCTACCACCACGAGGTATGCATGCCATGAGTGACCACTTACCTCAATCAATGACCTTTTGGAGTTGTGGTCCCCATTGCAGCTTTCGGTCCAATACCACATCCAGGTACTTTACCTGATTCTGCATTTCAAGCACTGTGTCTTGTAGTCTCAGAGGTCATATGCCATTTAGATCGCACCTCCTCGTGAAGGGGATAACCGCCACTTTGGAGGGGTTGATAGAAAGGCCTACCT